GAGGTTTTCTCACATAATTTATTATCAAATATTTTAAAGACAAATTATGTGCTATGGTCTATTCTGACAGGTGATCTCAAGTTAAGGTTGATTTCTTGTAATCAAATGAACTATCTTACAATAAAGTCAAATTCATGTTATTTATTTATGTTGATATACAATAAAGTACATATGTCAAAAAATATGATAATATAACATAAAATAACACAATATAAAATAAAAATTAACATATTAAAACCATAAAGCAAAATATAAAATAATGCATATATTAGTTAAGACAAACATTACACCGAACATTATATTCTAGGTTCCCAGGTATACACAAAATAGGATTCAGCAAAACACAAGCCAGTTCCAAACATTAAAGTTAAAATTTAAGAATTCATCACTTAAAAACTACTTTCCCTTCACCACAATACTCAAAGATATCATTAGGGCTAATTTCCATTTTTAAATGATAAAATAACTCTTCTTAAACCAAACTAAACATGGAAAAGCAATGGTAAACATCCGATTGTCATGTTTGGTTCTACCATTTATATCGGCCATGACACTGCAATCGACCTGACCTCTACATTCAGATTCAATCGCGGATAGTGATATATCTTTATCATTAAAAATAGTCATTTAACAATGTTTTGTTTTATAAAAGAATAAAAAATGGGATCAGACATTAAAGGGGTTAGAAGTAGAAGGGTACAAGTGCATATTTGCCATAAAATCAATTACGTACAGATTTGGGTAGTTAAAATACCAAATTGCATAGTGGCATAAGGATCCAGCTTTGGTAAACTTTGAAGCTTTGGTAAATGAAACAGTCGGAGTTAAAGTAAACGAAAGTTTAATTAGCAACATTAGGTATGGCGAAGCTACAGTCATAATAGCCTATAACTTGGAAGACTTATTAGAAAGAATTATGAACAAAATATTAAGATATAGTGGAGAATGCGGACTCTGTTTAAATCTCAAAAAAACTTGATTGAGAGAGTAAAAAGATATACTCATTTGGGAACAATAATCACAGAAAATAACGATTATACTTCAGAAATAAGACCCCGAGTGAAAAAAGCACGTGCCAACTTCGTGAAAATGAAAAAGATTTTCAGCAGCAAAGATCTGACATTGGCCCTCAGAATAAGGCTAATTAAATCCTATGAATATAGTGTACTCTACTGTGAAGCTAAATCGTGGACATTAAACCGGAATACAATAAATCGACTTAACGCATTTGAAATGTGGACATCTAGAAGATTATTAGGGATTCCATGGGTAGATAGACTTAGGAATACAGAAGTGTTAAAGAGAATAGGCAAAGAGAGGAAAATGGAAGATACAATAAAATAAAGGACATTGCAATATCTCAGACATGTGATGAGAAGCGAAAGATATAACGTCTTGAGACTCATATTTCAAGGAAAAATAGAGGGTAGGAGAAGCGTAGAAAGAAGACGCGTTTCCTCGTTAAAGAACCTGAGAGAGTGGTTTAGTTGCAGCTCAAGGCAATTGTTCAGAGCAGCTGCCTGAAAGGACAAAATAGCTGTGATGATTGCCAACCTTTGTCGCGGAGATGGCACTTGGAGAAGATAAGGATCCACATAAAATTAACAATTGTAGTGCCATTTATTAGCTAGTGAAAATTACATAGAAATAAAAATCTAGAAATATTTACCAGTAAACCGGTTGTAGCCAAGAATATAGATGCATATGCGTCCACATTCTTTGGTTTAATTTCAAACGTTGGGGTAAACTCTTTGACGGTAATATGAATATATTATAGGTTATGTACTTTTATTTTAGCTTTCACATACACAAATAAAAGAATAAGAATGCAAAAGAATAAAGACAAAAAAATCAGGCAAAAGTGAAAAAGGATATGACAGAAACAGGTAAAACTATCAAAAAAAGGGAAATGAAATATTGGGATCATGATTGCAGGTATAACTGCATGAAAATATCCGAAAATAATGCAGTAAGTATTTTTAAAAAGTTTTATGAACTTTAGACATAAGATTTACAAACAAATTACATTAATTTCAGCATTAAGAAGGAAACTCCCAAGAGAGTAAAAGCTAAGGCACGCTAGCACAAATAATTTGCCACCCATATTTTCTCCTGTTGAGTTTTAGAGTCTGCAAGACGATCCTTTTGAAATTTTTAGAAAAAACTAATCACAGATTTCTTACGGTATGTAATAAACTCTCCAAGGAATGATTTCTGCGAGACGATCAAGGTGACACACATCCACCATGATACAAAATAAGTAAGGAGAAACATGATGACGTTTTATCACACATCAAAATGTTTCCGAGATATAAGAGCCATTATTCTCGATTACAAAATTTTGCTTCCAGATAACTAGCAACTGATCTAAATATCAAAAAGATATACACCCTCTATCTTGAAAGGTGCTTAGAATTAAAGAAAATAAAGGAAACATACTATAGGCGTATATTTTGTACTGAGTTTAATTTGAAATTTCATAAACCCTATTCAGATACATGTTTTCGGTTGAAAAATTTAATAAAATATGACCCCAGTAGCGTATATGTAATCTCACAAAGTAAAAGGATGGAGGTATATCACAGAGTTGTAGAAAGTGTCGTAGCTGCCAAGAAAATAGACCACTCTCAACTCGCTTAATATGCTACGACTTAAAAAACGGTACCCACGCCCCTGCTCACTACTAATAAGGTATATTACCTTTAATAGCTGTGGACATAAATATAATTTTTGCATATATAAAGTAATTTCTTGTAAATCTTGGAAATCTATACTTGGAATAAAACAACTGCTGTAGGAGGTTCTCAAGAAGTTGGTTCTTGTCTGGTAAAGGTAAATTTTAAACTCCTATATTTGTCTCAAAATTTAATGCTACTGTTTTAATAAATTTTTTGTATGTTAAACAGCTACCGCCAGATATTAAACATCTAATTGCCTATTCTGATTTCTGTAGAGGACAAAATAAAAATAAAAATATAGCTAAGCTATTCATGTATCTGGTTTAATGTACTAGTCTGGAAATAATAAACCATAAATTGTATTAAAGTGGGCATTCATACAATACATGTCCGAATTGAAAAAACAAAAAAGAAATACTCCCATGTGTTTGTACCTGATGATTGGGTTGGTATTATTAAAAAGACAAGCAAAATTTTCGTTGTCACATGCACGAGTAATGACGACTTTTTCTCATTGTAATGTCTGCATAACAACATGAAACATCCAAAGAAAGACGAGGAAATCCGGATATTTAGATGGCGTGAAAATGTCTGCTTTATTTATACAAAAGTTTTTCTTTCTACTACTTTTTGAAGTTTTCTTTCACGATATCCAGAAACAAATGCTGGACTTTAATTTACATCGAAAGTTGCTCCAAGCTCTAGGTTGCACATTGCAGAAACCTCGATAAAAACTGTATAACTACACATTAAAAATGTCATAGGAAAAGTATGTAAAGTACCGGCTTGCCATCAAAAATTTTATATTGAGGTTCCCCAAGAAGATGAAAAAGGAAAAAAAGTAAAAAACACAGCTACAATTCCTGACGTAGATATAAATATACTACCAACTCATACATTACAGATCGAAGGTGATATAGACAACGATGTTCCAAACCTATTGGACTAAGGTTATGATGATTAATTAATTATTGTTTATGTTATTAAATTTATTATCTAAGATATAAATAAGTTTCTTATTTTTACTAATAAAACATTTCGAAATAACAAGTTTTATAAATTTATTTGCGTATAAGTGCAAATGGAAGTGAAACATGGACATTGAGAAAGAAAGAAATCAATAAGCTATTAGTATGGGAACGCAAAATCCTGCGAATTATATATGGTCCTTGCAGGAACAGCGTGACAAATGAATGGAGGAGCAGATACAACAATGAAATAGAGACTCTCTTCGGGAAAGGCAACATCGTAAGATACATAAAAGCCAATAGATTAAGATGGGCAGGCCACGTGGTACGGAGTGATGACGACAGACTGATTAGCAATGTATTTTGGGAAAGACCAGATGGTAAAAGATCGACAGGAAGGCCTAGAAAAAGGTGGAAAGACGCTGTCAGGGAAGACCTGGAGAAGATGGAAGTAAGGCTATGGGAAATAATAGCACAGGATCGGAATCAATGGAAGGTAATAGTAAACGCGGCAAAAACTCACGAAGAGTTGTAAAAGCCAATGATGATGATGATAAGTGCAAAAAAGAAACAAAAACATATAAGTTACATAAAAAAATGATATTACGTTTCTAAAAAGATTATTTTAAATTAGGAAGTTGTAAATAAGTAAAATTGTTTTTAGGTTATGTTTTTCAAATTAACGGATGACGGATGTACGTATGTATTATGTATTTGTGTTTAAGTTGTATGTGTTTATATGTTTATATATTTTGCGTCGTATGAATATGTATTATATGTAATTGTAGATGATGTGTAGCTGAATTTCTATTAATCCGCCAATGTTGGTATATTCGTGTTGCTGACTTCTTCTTTTTGGTATTGACAACAAGAGCCTGTTAATAGGTTTCCCATACATTTTTCTTCATTGCGTAGGATGAGAGCTGCGTTTTTGATTTTTTATTTCATATATGTTTCCTTCTTTCCATTGTATCATGTGCTCATTGTCCTAGGTATATTCGCATATCAGTAATTTTTCGAAGTCGCTGTTTTTGATATATGTGTCATGTTTGATTTCTCTTGTCTGTCGTCAGGTTTCGTATGTTTAAAAACCTGTATACTTTTGTTACAGCGTATTTCAAATACCAATAAAAAAACTGTGATGGTGTGTACAAAGTCATGAAAATAATTAAAATAGTCATAAAAAACTTTTGAAATAACACTTTATTATCTACCGTTAAATTTTTATTATTAATTTAGTTGTTTTTCGTGAAAATTTGCCCAGGCAATATCACTAATTTATGCCCAAAACTCACCATGAAGTAATATATAAAGGTACATTGTAGTCCATTAAATTAACATTATTTTATCACTCTAGAACTTTACTTTTTGTAGTGTTGTATATATAAAAAACTTTGGTGGATTCTAAAGTCTTACAATTATGAATCTAAAATGGAATACTGCAATATTGGTGTGTCTTTGGTTATTCAACAATAACTTTATTCATGCAGGTAAGAAAGAATATTTTCTTGTATTTAGAAGTTACTTTTCTCTATATCATCTTATTTCCTTCCGCTTTATTTAACAATTATGCTTATTCATTGGCGAATTGATGTGTATATTGTAAGTTGTTACTTCATCTTCTGCGCGGTCGTCCGTTACTCCTTCTACCGATTGGTGATTTATCTATTGCTATTTTGACCAAACTGGTCTTCATTTTGCTTATGTGGTTATTGCCATCTTTTTCTCTGTTTAGTGTCTATTTGTTTATACAGTGTAGCTTACATTTTCTTCTGATGTATTTTCATCCAAATTTTGATCTCTTAACGTATTTCCTGTATTGTACTTAGTACTCTTATGTTTGCCGTTTCCAGTACTCTTTGTGTTGTGGCTGTGTCAAGTCTTATTTCTGATGCATAATATTATTATTGGTCTTACAGTGACTTTATAAATTCTTAATTTTATGTCAGTGTTAATATGTCGGTTTCGCTATAATGTATTCTTAGGGCTCCTACTAGTCTATATGCTTTATATTTTCTACTTTATAGTATATTATTATTGTGAGTTTACTGTAAAACTAGTTAACTATCTACCATAACACAAGAGTACAAACTAGATATAATAAAAAAAAGTTTATAATTTAACAAAATCAAATACATATAAAGCTTGTCAAAAAAATGTAACAACTAATATAGTTTGTAAAGATGTTCTTCGGATAATGAATTAAACAACAATAACTATTATTATAGTGTATTATTACGGTACATTATAGAAACACAATTATACAGTACAACATGGAACTACAAAAAATGTAGCAACTTTAAAAAGAGTGCAATTAGAGTGCTATAAAAATAAAAAAAAATAAAAAACTTGGCTACTTGGTGTGAAACTATTTAACCTTCCACGGCTGGCGCTTATAATCTGGACACTGCGGCTGGCGCGCGTAGTATTTGTCCGCATATATTTTTGTCAAACCTTTTGGCTTAAATTTGTTCTACTATCTTCGGAAATGATTTAAGTAGATGTTAATCGACTATTTGAAAATGATAAAATACAGCTTGAGCATTTATTCTGAGTAAAACGTTATAAAATTTCAAAATATGTAATATCGGGTTGGCTTATTTTACGTCTGCCATTAACTACTGTTAATGTCTTCTAATTTTAGGTAGCCCTGCTTTAAATGAGGTCCCCGTCGATATCCTCGACGTCCTTAACTAACAAATTTATTTGCTTCTTTTACATCCAGAATTATTATATAACGGCAACATTAAATCTTCTACTATATACAGGTTATGTTAAAACTGACATACTGTGTAACAGACCTGCTGTACGATCCAGGTTGAGGACATTGAGACCTATTTGGAGCAAAGGCAGAGGCAATCATTACGTTTATTTAATTGTACTAACCAAATTAAACATGGCATAAATCTTTCCTGTTTTTATATAATAAAAGGGTTAATATACTATAAAAAAAAAACAGAAATCATTTCCGAGTCATGCGCTGTCATGCGAGTTACACACAGAAAATGTGGCTGTTTCTTGGAAACTTAATCTGAAAACTTTGTAGCAAAAAACTTAAAATAGCAAACTACATCTTGCAATACAGCAAGGCACTACAACGCAGACCGCAAACACATAATACAGCCTACCACAGGAATCTATAAACATGTGACCAATCTAATACACTAATTCTGAAAAGGGTATCATAAATATATCGAAAATATACAATAAGAAATTAAGTGCAGCACGACCAGTTTATAACAGATGGTTTTTAACAAAAACACACGCAAGAGTTCTATTTTCATAATATAAACCCTATATCATAGGGTTAAAATTAAAAATTTAGAAATTATTAAGCAACAAGCTTCTTAAAAGCAGACATATGTTAATGTACAGTATGGACACTATAAGAAAAAGGCACAAATGATCTCCATGTTTATACGATTTTGACTGTCTCGCTAATTTAAGAATATCCAGATCACGACGGAACAAAAGGGTCATCATCATTTATTTACCTTTATCCTTATGCGGGATCGGCTTTTCTAATTACATTTCTACATAACTTTCTATATATTTATCAGCTCTATCGATATGTCCTACCTAAGCGTCTACTCCCAGGTCTTATTTGTCTTCTTACAATCCTAACTCATACTAAACCTTTTAACCTATACTCCATTATTTTGGCATCCATTGGTAGCATCCATCGACTTTCCCTAGTATATTCATTATATATTTTATCCATTTCTGTCACGTAACTCATTTATCTAAACATTTTCATTTGCACCACATGTAGTCCTTGTTGCTCTTTATTTTTAACTGCCCAACATTCAGTTCCATACAATATAGCTGGGCTAATCGCTGTGCTGTTATATACAATTTTCCCTTCAGATACATTGGAATTTCTCTATTAGGCAACATTGTTGCTCTGTATTATTCTGTAATACTGTAAGTATTTAAAACTTAGGTTAGGTTAGTAAGATATCATTATATTGTTGTAGTAACTTTTTTTTTAAATTAACATTTTAAATACTCTATTTTTGTCCTACTAAATTTTAAACCTGTTTTGTCAAGAGCTTGTCTCCACTGGTTTAGTTTTTCTTCTTTCCATTCGTTTCCATTATGTTTTTAAAACACTACATCATCAGTATAAATTAAACACCATAAAATGTTACCCTGTGGTTTGGCCACTATTAGATCCACAACTAATGAGAATTAAAAATGACAGCACCGTATCTTGCTGCAATCCTACTTTTACATGAAATTTATCCATCCGTATATCCATACCTGTCAAACATTGGTTGTTACTCGCTTATACATGGCTCTCGCATTCGTTGCCTATTTACCTGAAACTTCTTTCTTATTCAGTGCTCACCACAAAATCTCCCTAGGACTTCTATCATATGCTTTCTCAATATTAATAAATAATAACATATAAGCGTTTGTTTCTTTGTTCCTGTATTTTTTTATTAACTGTCTTAGAATGAAAATTGCATCTGTTTTTGATCTGCCTTGCATAAAGAAAAACTTATTATTGGATATATCAGTTTTTCACTTATCTGTATATCAATTTCTCTCTTCCATATTTTGATAGTGTGACGTAAGTAGTTTTATGGAAAGTAGTTTGAACACTGTATAATATATCTTTCTTGTTTTTTTAAACAGAGACTAATATACTACTTTTCTATTCGTGCTGCGTTTGTCCAATCTTTATAATTCTATTCAATAAATCCGTTAGCCAGCTTGTTCCCGTTTTTTTAAATGCTTCCTCACCCAGTAATAATATATTGTCAAAGTGCTTTTCCTTTATTAATTTTTTTTTAAAGCTGAAATCACTTTCTCGTTTGTTATTTTGGTGATCATTGCTGTTATTGCTAACTACTGGTGTCATGTCCAATTCTTTTTTTTTCTCTCTTTTTTAACATCCTTTTCGTAAATAAGTGTTCTATTATTTTTAACTTGGATACATCTAGTCTAATTAAAATATGTCTATTTCTTTACTCTTTGAGGTTTGTTCGTTTTATATATGTATATCTTTATTTCGCATTCCGTAGTATCAAGTTAATTGTATAGATTTGTATATGCCTCTGCCTTAGCTTTTGCTACTGCTAAATTGGCTTTCTTTTTGTTAACAGTATAGTAGTTGAAGATCTGGGTGTGACCTATTTTCTTTTCCCCGTTTATATAATTTTCTCTCGTTTTTATTTTCTACTTTTGTATGACCATCACCAAGTCGTGACCTATTTTCTTGTCACTGTTTATATAATTTCTCTTCCCTTTTATTTTTGCTTCGCATGACCATCAGTAAATATATTTATTCTCAAACTCCTTTTCTGACTTTTCCAAGTATTTTAATAGCAGTATTTCTAATTATACTGGCCATCTTTCTTCAAATTGCATGTTTTTGTTATTTTCCAACACATTTTATCTACTATTCTTGCTAGGTATGCCGGCAAGATTCGAGACTTCGAGAATTCCATTCGAGACGAGACGAGATATTTTGTAAAATATTAATTATATAATATTTTAACACTTGATTGAGCCAATTACAAATAGAAAAATCCGTTGACGTTTTGTTGGATAGGACAAATCCTATACATGAAATGAAATCCAAGGTTAGATCGCAGAAATGATTGGAGAAGCATAGTTTTGCGACAACTGACAGGATAAAACGTTACGTGAAAATACATGTTCAGATAAGTCGTCCGATCTTGACTCAGTTGAGGACAGCTCTACTGCAGTTCGCTTCATTTAAAAAAAAAGCCTAATAATGTCAGATTTTCGGCAATGCATCCACTATTTTCTCGATGAGTTTACTGAATTGTATAAAAGTTTTTTAGTAGTTCTGTTTTAAAACCAAGTAGATTGCATTACAGGTTTCAAAAATTATTTGACTTAACGCTGGTTTGGATATTATGGTTGTAAACTCCAAGTCCTTAAGGCTGCTCCAAGGCCTTAAGATATCTGAGAATTGCTGTGAGTCCTTTATGGGATGTAATGGCTTTTCTCATGCAGGTGTCGTGTTTCAATATGTATAATGGTACCAATCCTAGCAATTGAAAATATGCTAAGGTATTCATTCGCAAAAAACTGCGTCAGTTATCTGGTTCACCTCTTAGTTCTTTAAGTATCGAGGCGTGGGAATACTGGTTTATTTTCAAAAGCCACTCTATTGACCATCTTGCCTTTTGCCTCTTCATCTCCTTTTGTCTCAGTCGTAATATTGTTATAGTTGAAAAAATAAAAGAAAGCAGCCGTGCTTCCTCCATAATAAAAAAAATCACTAAACAAACTACACACAACTCAAGACTCTGAATTAGAAATGATTTAAAAAATGAAAGGAAAACCAGCTTTAACACATATCATATCATATGGTAATATTTATTTAACATTTTTTTAGATATTAAACATGTCGCCTATGAACTTAAACGTAGTAAAGATCTAGCCGATTCTTCTAATGATCTATTTCTGCATTTTGCTATAATTAGTTCTGCTATAGAGAATGATCGTTTCTATTCTATGGAGTCGACGTTCTATCAGAAATACACAGAAATTCTTTTGCCATTTTCGATAAACAAGGGAAGTAATTTGTAACCTTAGAGCACCCTTTTTAAACATCCGCATCTTTAGTTGTTCTCTTAGATTTCAAATATTCATAAAATTCTTTAGACTAATTATTATCGAAAATATTCTCATACAATGAATTTGTATCAATAGTATGTGAATCGGAATTAGAATCAAAATGGTTCAAATGGGACAATTTATCTTTATTAAATGATTCGAAGTAAATTTCTTAATATATTTTATTAATTTTTTTAACAATTAATAATACAGCTCTTTTTCCCAAGAAGTCAAGTTAAATGTTTCTAACCTATTTTTAAATTCTAAAATAAACAGGCGTGTGGAGATTATCAGATCAGCATTTATACGAATGTAACCACTCATAATAGAACAAAAATCTTAATTTGGAAATCAGACCACGTATCATTCGATGTTACATATTTTTAATATTATTATTATATGGAGCTAAGACTTAGACAATAAAAAACTGCAATTTAAAAAGAATTGAGGCTTGCGAGCTCTACAATAGTTATACAGTAGAGTATTAAAAATAGCATGGTCTGATATAAATTTTATTTCGATATGCGATATTTTTTTAACAAAATAATTATATACATAACAAATAAACCAAAAATTAATGTCAGTCACTAGTTGCTGTTCAATTTTTTCACATGCGAAAAATCATGTCAATTTTTCGCTCTATTACCAACTACTACTATACCACAATTTTACAAATATTTTCCATTCTTCAACCCTTCGTACTCACATTTTAACCCCAGTCCATTAGAAATATAGATAGTTATACAATAGCAAACAAGAAAGACTCTCTCTTGATTGTTGACTGTCGCTAAGGACAGTCGTTCTCTTTTTCGTCTGCTGAGTCTCGCTAGGCAGACGTACTCTCTCTTACCTTTTGCTTATCGAGAAAAACAGTCGCTCTCTTGGCTGTTATTTATCGCTGAAGAGACACTCTCTCTACTGTTGACTACCGCTAACTAATTATCTCTCTCCCTCTTATACAGTCAGTAAGTGGCATCTTTTTGTCTTCATTGTTTATGTACTAGCTACTAACTTTACAATGAGGTTAACAATATGTGGTATATGTAATTTTAATTACAATTCATTATGGCTTAATCCAATATAAATATAATATTGAAGAAATTAGTGATTACAGCATATAGGGTAAGTGCACCAGTTATTGGCCTCTCAAGGAGAGCACGTCGATATATATATATATATATATATATATATATATATATATATATATATATATATATATATATATATATATAAATATATACTATGATGGTACCTTCTTAGGTACCATCAAGGTTTTGTTCTCGATTTCAGGAATGTTTACAATTTCAGTATCATCTATTATTACAGGTATATTACAGGTATCATTTATATCGAAAATTATTTCACTTGTGTCTAAAAATTTTACTTCTTCGTCTAAAATATTTTTTGTTCGTCGTTTGTAGAAATTTCTACCGATGATTTTTCTGTAAATGCTAAAAAGATTTGTTTCAATATTTGGTAATCATCAGATTGAGTTTTACAATTATTTCGACATAGCTCTTTAATTTTGTCATTGCCAACTATTTCACAAAATTGTTTATAAGAAATTGTTGTATTTGGATCAGTAAGTGTTGATAAATCATTGTGCTTATCCAGATTATCTTCAGTTTCAAATTCTTTCCCAAGACATTTTGAATAGTCAAGAGCAGAAGAATTCCAAGGAAATATACCGAATGCACTAAACTCACTTCTGATAACATCTGGACTTAACCTATCTATATCCGATTTTAAAACAGGGGCAAACTGTACTTTCGTTAACACTTTTTGGGGGTTGTCTCTCCTAAACTGAAGAACAGCTTTGTTCCAAAAAATTTTTAGAGGCTTAAATGCAGTCACATCCGCTGGTTGCAATAATCTTGTGGCATTAGGATATAATGCTACTAAAATAATTTTGTGTACAAAGTTGACTTGTGTGTACAGTTAAATGGGTTTTATGCCCATCAACAAAAAGTATCACCGGACCTGTAATATTATTTCAATCTAAATAAGGGTTAAATATACTTCCAATATATTCATAAAAGTTTTTGTTGTCCATTTAATCATTTTCAGTGAAACAACATAGACGTTTCTGGAACCCTTCATAGCCAAAACCTTTTTATTTGTGGGACATATATAAAAACATGTCTTGTCACCATTGAAGATTTTTGTTGGGTCTTGAAGAACGTCTGAAAGTTCTTTTTTATTTAGATAAGTTTTTATGTTGTCAAACCATTTGATAATATCACTTTGATTAATGTTTAAACTTGCTGATGTCACTCCCTCTGAAGTCCTTAGCGAAATGTTGGAATTGCGCTTTAGAAATGCTGATAGCCATGTTCTACCTGGTTTATTTTCAACAAATGGAGCGTTACTCTCTAAAAATGATTTAACGTAGTCCTTAATTTCGTCACCACGAACAGGAAATCCTCTATTTTTACAATGAAAAATACAGAGTTTCAGTTGTTCCTCTTCATCCTTTGAAAGAAATGGATCTGGTCCATGGTATATCTTGTAATGAAATTTTTCACTTTTCCGGCAACTTATAGTGGCTCTAGGAATATTAAAAATTCTTGAGGCTTCTCGCTCACTCATATCATTTTAAATTAACTCTAACGCTTTTTTAACATCGTCTTCGGAATACTTTTTTTATAATTGTTTTCAGTTTTGTTGTGGCCAATTAGTTATTGGCCACCTATAAAACACTAGTTATTAACATATGTCAATCACTAGATTCTTACAAAATCTAATGTTTCAGTTATTGGCCATCTAGGTCAATTTTGTTAAATAAAAACAGGTAGTAGAGACATTAGAATCATATGTAACCTCTATTGGAACCAAACAGTAAAAGTGAAAGTTCACAATGAACTGACCGAGGATATCCAGATTCGCTGTGGGGTCCGTCAAGGGTGTACTTTATCAGCCTTGTTATTTAATTTATACAGTGAAGCCATCTCAGAATTAACGCTTGCCGAGATCAATGAGGGCCTTATAATAAAGGGTGAGTCACTTATTAACATAAGATATGCTGACGACACCGTCCTTCTAGCAGGAACACTAAAAGAACTGCAACACCTTGCTGAGCAACTAAATATATATTGCAACGATTATGGTCTAAAAATAAATTTGAAGAAAACCAATTTCAAGGTATTTACAAAAGCAGAAAATATTAACAAACAAGCAAACAAGTTAAGCTAGTAATAAGTAATACAGAAATTGAACAAATGTCGTTGTACAAATACCTTGGAACATGGATCATAGAAGATAATGATCATACAAAAGAAATAAGAACGACGCATTGAAATTGCACGGTAAACTTTTAATAAAATGAAAAAACTATTGTATGAGATTGAAGCTTGGACACTTAAAGATCCAACATTAAAAACCTAGAAGCATTCGAAATGTGGTTTTACCGACGTATTTTGAAAATATTAAGGATGGATCACAAAACAAACGCACAAGTTCTCGAACAATTAGGAACACAATGCAAAGTTTTACATTGTATAAAAATTAGAAAATTGGATTACTTGGGTCGAAAAATATAAGGGGTGAAAAATACGAACTACTAAGGAATATAATGCAGGGTAAGATCAAAGGCAGAAGCAGCGTAGGAAAACGAAAAATCTGCTGGCTACGCAATCTCTGTGAATGATGTGGATGCAGTTCAATTGAACTGTTCAGGCGCGTAACCAACAAAATTATAATTGCCAGAATGATTTTCAATTTCCGATAGGAGCGGAACGTGAAGAATAAGAAGAACAATCTGTAACTTCGCATTGGGGATTGAATAGCCCACTATGACCATTTATTATCACTTTTTGTATATTTTCGTTTTGATTTTTTTTTGTATTTACATAAATCTGTATTTTTTGCTGTAGTTGTCGATATTGGTGAAAGAATAGTTAATAAATTTCACGTTTTAATTTAGAATTAGGTATAAAGATATTAAAACACACTTTAAATATATTTTAAGTTATCATTATTCTCTGCTACAAAGACCAATTAGTCTCTATAGTACAGTTTAATTTTTGCTGTATTCATGTATCGTAGGTTGCAATTGTTTATTTTATTTCTGATACTATTTGTTTTTATTCGATGAGAAATCCGATTTTTATTTACTTGTATAATAATTTGCTGGTTTTTAAAGGAAGCAATTTTCGGATTTTCGGTGGGAAGGAAGCCTCCATAGAGGATCATCCATGGATAGTTTCACTTCAGATCCCGTCTTTAGGTCACTCGTGCGGTGGGTCTCTGATAAGTGAAGAATGGGTAATCACAGCTGCACATTGTTTTATGAATGAGAGGTAAGTTTAACGACATATGAACTTAATAAGCATATCTATTATAAAATCTAGTGGTAATTATAAAAACAAAATATTAAAAATAGTCTAACTAAAAATTTAAACAAAGTTATTATTCTTATTAAGTTGAAAAAAATCTTTAACAATATTTTTTAACGGCATTCGTGGAGGAGAGTTAGTGGAACTCATTATTTATGTGTTGATTCTACCTACTAATGGTTTTATCTTTTACACCGGTAAATTAAGTTACTGCAATAATTAAAATGACAAATGGTGTTTTATAGATATTGCTGTTATTTTCTCGTATTTATTTATTTTTTTTTTATTTAATTTAACGTGCTTGTGACAGCTTCGGCCATTAGCACGAGGCACCGTGGATACAATTATATATAAAATACAATTACGTATTAAAATATACTATAGTTACATATTATTAAGTAAGTTTTCTAGCTTCAGGAACTGGATAGCAGTGATGACTTGACTCGGCTTCGATAATATATCTGTAATGTCGTCCTTAATGCCCAGTTCTTGGCGTCGTTTATTGTAATGAGGGCAGTCCACAAGGATGTGTAGAACGCTTAGTGGAGATTGGCAATAGTGACAGATTGGCTTAGGTGTAGAATTTATTAGGTGACCATGTGTAAATCTGGTGTGACCGATACGAATCTTAGCAATAACCATCTCATTTCTAGTTATACCGAAGTGAGTAGTGCAAACTACAAATTCTCATTACCATGTACTGAAATTCAGGAACATATCAACAGTTGCGACCAAACTTAAGGGACTAAACTCTCTCAACAGAAGCTTTATTTTCAGATTCATCAAAGGCCCATTATTAAATACCCATGAGACCCTAAAAAGTTTCTATTCTTTTCTTGGTCACGTACGAACTCATAAGCGAACAATTTCATCTTCCGTCCATTCTAATGCAATTCTGCATCGATAACCTCCCGAGTGTGTACGCTGACATCCTTGAAGCTAATTCAGGAGCTGTCCGTACCTATCTCTAATCAAATTCTTTTTCCTTACATTGGACAGGGGATCATGGGTTTTCTTTCACTAAACCTAACGTGACCTTGCCATTAACGTAACCAGCCGATAACAAAACAGAATTTTAGTGCAATACACTAGTTATGAAGTTAGCTGGAGACGTTAAAACGGCTGACTAAACAATAGTAATCAACACAATGTCGAGAGTAATAGCACAACGAGAGAGTAATTAGCATAATTTTAACTGGTATCTTCGACCACTCCATGGGCGTGCTCAAGATTAATTGAAAAATTACTTTGAATAATTGTAAAAAATAAATGAATTATTTCAGTGTTATAAAGTGTTATGTGTATGTAAACAAAAGTGACCTCTTTTATCACACACTATATTAGAACTGACTGGCCTACATTAAAAAGGGTTTTAAAAAATTCACATTTTTTTTAATTTTTAAAAATTACAAAAGAGAAAAAGAGTTTTTAAAACCGTCTAAGGTATGTTAAATAGATGAATAAAAATATTAATATTAAACTTACAGCTACTTGTTACAAATCCAAATCAGATTCAGAAGATGAACTTTCAGAACCAAGATTTATAATAACTGGCTCGATCATTTTATCAGTAATATTGTCCAGCTTCCACATTTTTTCCTCTTCTTTAATAGTGTGATTTACTGCCTTTTCCCAGTTTTCAGGTTTTACATTATTTACGGCCTCCAAAAACAACTGTTTAACATCATGAATTTTAAAAGTGGTATTTTTTCTTGAAACTTCACTCTTTATCTGTGCCCATACCAGTTCAATCGGGTTTAATTCACAATGATATGGTGGGGATCTAAGTACTGTCATTCCACGATTTTTGGCAATTTCATCAATTTCGTATTTTTTAAATTTTTCTTTATGAAGGGCACACAACGAATAAAGTTCCTTTCTTATAGATCCGGGATGGTACGTAATATTTTTTGAACTCAGCCAATTCTGCAAGTCTTTTTTTAACCACTTGGTTGTGGGCAGTCCTTCTATAAGTCTGGAGTGATAACTTGCATTATCCATTACTATTACACAGTTCTTAGGAAGAAGATCTATCATCTGTTCGAACCATTCTTGAAAGACATCAGCGTTCATGTCTTCATGGTAGTCACCGGTACGAGTTGATTCAAAAGTTAATAAACCACCTTCAACAAAACCGTCTGAACTGCCAATGTGTACTATTATCAGCCTGCGTCCCTTTCCTGATGGTGGGTTTAAACCAGTAGATAAGTTATTTACAAAAGCGCGCCTTTGACTTGTAACAGTTTCATCCTGCCAAAATTTATTTGGTGTATGACCCCCGTTGATCCATGTTTTATCAAGATAAAATATTTTTCTTTTTTGGTTTCTCATTTCTCCTTTATGGTTCTTAGAAAATGTCTTCTCCATATGACAATATCGCTTCTTTCTAATAAAATAGACTCTCTCGGATTCTTTTTCCAGCGGAAGCCTATTTCTTTTAATAGTTTCCATAACGTACTTCGACTCATTTCTGGGCAATCCTTATCATCTCGAACTGAGACAAGAACTTTATCCAATGTTGGAAATTCTTGTCTAAAGAAGAATTCATGCACTTTCCGTCGAAGTCCTTCTTTAAAATGATATTCTATTTGAAATTTTGGTTTCCCTGGAGCATTACGCGGCATTTGAAAACTACCACATTTCTCGTCTTTAATAACTCTGTAAATCATAGATTTCCCAACACCAAGTGCTAACTTGGCTGCTAACTAACTGAACGGTCTCATCAACACTTTCAGATAAAAGTTTGTCTGTAAATGATTTAAAACAATTAAATATTAATGTTTTTTCATTAACTGTTAAAGGACCAATTTTTCAGCGTTTACACGGCACTTCCAAATTTTCCATAACACTAGTATACACAATAAACTGCACCTTGCAACTGAAGTACCTACTTTTAGTGAACTGTTAAGAATTTTGAATACGCCACTTGGACCTTCCTACAAAATGGAACAACCCACTATCACATTTTCTGTGGAATAAGTTTAGAAGGTAATTATCTAGTCAATTACTGTCGTAGATTCCTGGAATTAAAGAATTAAATGTTTGATTGTTGAAACCCTTACTTCGTGGAATGCACTCATTTCAGATAAAATAAAACGTTTTATTTTATCTAAAGAATTAAACTTTATTTTGCAAATAGGTAGGTACTTATTAAACTTTTATTGGTTATATATAACCAATAAAATAAACATCTTACATTTCTTGCAAATTCATTAGTACCTGTTAACCTCCATCACTCCGACACTGGCAACCTTATTTAGGGATTAGTAACCCTCACAACTATTGTATTCTATCCTGCTCCAACCTTTATACCTGGTGGTCATACTCAATTTAAAATTGTTTTCCTATATACTTTTATAAACTTGTTGACAAATATCTGTTTTTCATTGAGTCACCCGTATCAACAGTTTAGGGATTTGCATACATAATTTATTGTTTTATTACTCTCTCATACATAAAAATACACTATAGTTTGTGACAGGGCTGTTTTTAGAAATCTGACGAGGTCTAGCAATTAACACAATTAGGCAACAACCCAATTTTAGTGCAATACACCATTTCTAAATTTGGCTGAAAACGTAAAAACGGCTTGCAGTAACAATAGTAACTAAAAACATAGTTCTTATCGTACTCAAGCCTACTCACATACACACACGCAATCTGAAAAGAACATCAAATTTTAATCAGAACCTTTTACCTCTGATGTTGTCAACATCGGCTACATTTTAACAGATTCCAATGTGCTTCGTAATCCAACCAAAAGGACAACTTGCCCCTTTAACATTTTTTTGCAAGCTGTTTACCATTGTGCAAACACCACATTCAAGACAAATGCCAAAGAGGATGAAAACAACACACACACATTCAATACTTGCCTTCCCCCGTCCGAATAATTCGTACTTTATTTCGAATAAATTGATGTCGAGTTTCTTTTTTATGGTCTCATCTCTTTACTTCCCTTGTTGTTTATGTTGTATATTTATTGGATGAAGCAAACGATTAAATGAAGACCAAGAGAAAACAAGAGATGTAGAAGCATACCTCAAACCAAATGGACTGATGGCATCAATTGAATGCCTGGTCACAAATTGATGTAAAAAAACAACTAACAGAAATGAATGGACACATCTAAGAAAGGCTTACATCCGAAAATATATTGAATAGCTGTTGATGTTAATCGTAATATTATAAGTTTAAAAACAGGGCAAAAGATCAGTAGAAAGATATTAAAACTCATGGATAAATGACCTTCGCAGATGTTTTAGCTGCTCATCCCCCGAAATCTTTCGAGCAGCAGTTTCCAAAGCTACAATTGCATTTCGATCGTCAATGTTCGAAAGAAGACGTAATAAAAAAATAATACTACTAAATATACGAACTATTTTAGTTTTAGCTTTTAATTTGTTAGTTAATAATTATTGAAAAAAATCTTATGGTATTGGATTTTTATTGGATTCTTAATTAGAAAGCGCAAGCAAATATCTTTTTAAAACAAATCTCTTTTAAAACGACTTTACATTGTTACAGCAATAAACCAATATGACCTAGTAGGTAATATAAATATATTATTAAAATAGTCTTTTTAGTTTACAGCCAGAGTCAATAATTGCTGGAACATCTGATCTGACTCACCCAGATACTACCATAAAAATAGAAAATGTAATACTACACGAAAAATTCAGACCAAAAAGGTTTTACGATTATGACATAGCGGTTGTTAAGGTAGGTATTATTACATGCAATATATTATATATATACATATATATATATATATATATATATATATATATATATAAATATATATATATATATATATATATATATACATAAATATATATATATATATATATATATATATATATATATATATAATAATATATATATATATATATATATATATATATATATATATATATATAAGGATCACTCAGACGAGTGGTGGGTTCTTATATCGGTCTCTAGGTGGAGAAATAAAAGACAAAGTTGATAGGCTACTTTATCTATTTTAAAGACGTTTCGCTTTCGATTTTTGAAAGCATCATCAGTTCATCTAAAAAAGTACAATATGAGAACCACACAATCATGAAAACGATGTTAATTGTTACCTTAAAAAGACATGTAGCAGTCAATGTTATTAACAATAATGTGAATGAAACTTAAGTAAATGGACATAATACGCTGATTTTGTATAAACAATTAAGTAACTAACAACATATATGAACTTATAAAATTAGCACAGAAAATGACCATGTGGTCTAAAGTAAATTAAATGTTATTTAATGTTAATTAGTGAGCAAGAACCAAGAAAATCATAGATAACTTCCAACTATTTTATGATTATTAAGCTTTGATTTTAACTTTAGGTAGCATTATAAGTGATATTAATAAAAATTATAAAAGTAGTGTAAATGAAGTTACCGATCAAAGCCCTACAAGTGTCGCCGGAAAAATGGCGTTAGATGAACCGGAACGAACTAAACCGCGAAAATACAGCCAACCTTGAGGTCAAAATACTTTTGACAGATCAGCAAGGTGGAGGTACCAACCCAAATAATTGGGCGGTCAATTTAAAGGTTTAAATGAGTTTGGATGACTACCCGGTTGTAAAAGACAAAACAGTGAAAGAAACTGGTATTGTAATAGCAACTCCTCTCACTAATCAGCCCAGATTTACAAACAGGAGATTTTCATTCAACCTCATATGTATGTAATCACGTTAATCATTATGGCTAGTTAATCAGCCACAGGTGGTTAGCGATACATTAATTTCCAACAATATATATATATATATATATATATATATATATATATATATATACATTGTATATAGTATGATACAAAAGTATGGAATAAATTGATTATTTCAGACACGCTTTTCATCTTCTACAAACTAGTCATCCTTTTAATGACGAATTTCAAATTCTTTAGTGTTTTATTGTAAGATAAAATAAATTTCCATCAAGTAACGGTCGAATCCATCACTTAAAATAAATTCGTTAGTTCAGAAACAGAGTCAAACAACTGTTGGTTTATTAACAACTCATAATAAATGTTTAGTAATATAAGAAAAAAAATTGAAACTGACGACTTTCATTAATGATTCAAGGAGAAAAAGGCATAAGTAAATTCTTTTCTTACGTAATTTAGTTAATGAATTAGTATCTATTGTTATTTCATTTCAATTAACTAAATATATAGTTTTGGTTAACCGTATACAAATAAATATTAAAATTATACATCGCTGCAAAGTCGATTAAGATTCCTTTTTTATTGTATAATGGCTTTGGCATAGCTAACTAGCCAATTTTGTGGTACAAAGACAATGGACAATTTAGCTCAATTAGTTTTTTATACATGATTTTGATACTTTGTCTGTACTATCCACACTCCAATATAAGGTGCTGTAGATCTTCCACTTTACTACAGGAGTAATATGGGTTATCAGTGATACCTATACATTGTTTGTATGCAGGAGTGAGTGCGTGGTTTGTCTTATTCTCTCTATTGTTTTTATAAATCACCTATTTGGCTCATATTGAAACCATCTCTCATTGGGAATTAGTGGTTGGCAAGAAATTAAGTTTATTCCAGTTGTACTTTGGTTGTACAAACGTTGCCATCCTTGTTTGTAATTGTTTTTACATTATCTATGTCTGTTAATGGTAGAAGTATATTGTTTATATTATGTTTGGTTAAAGCTGCAGATTTAGCTAATTTGTCGACTACTTCCTTTCTTAATATTCCAGAGTGTCCTTTTACCCAACAAATAATAATCGAGCTACCATCGGTAGAGGCTATATTTTAACGCAAGTAATAAAGCTGATAGTTTGGCAGTATACATTGAAGCTTCATTGGGAAGTCGACATGATTCTTTGTAATCAAAATTCCAGAGATATATTGCACAACCCGTTTTATTTTAAATTTTAGAGCCATCAGTAAGACATATTAAAATGCAGGCCACTTATTTTAAATTATTTTGTTGATCATACTTCCTGTAATGTTTGAATCCATATATGTTTCTATTACCTTGGAGAAGAAAGTCTTAGTAGATTGAATATAAGTTTCTTTTAATTATTTTCTTGGCGGTATTTTATTTTAATACAATTTTTATTCAAATATTGTCAATTTCCTATAACTTTCAATGTATATGGGAGTTTTTTTGTTACGCTAATATTTGTGGCTTAAGTCTACTTTATTCAAGTCACGAAAATTTTTTGAATTGCTAAAGTTTGTTAAGGTAGCTCTAGCTTATCTGTACAAAACTGTCTGCGTAGTGTAAGGGGTGACCCTTTAGCTTCGATTTCAATAATAGTAATAGGAGTACTTTTTAAGTAACCAAAACAGAGCCTCAATAATTTATTCTTTTGGATTTCAATTTTATTAAGATGTCCTGTTGACGCAGAAAAATTGGTCGAATCCTTGAGCGATAGAATATCAATACAATATTTGGATAAGCTCCCCAACTAATAGAATAAATAGAATACATTTGGCCCTTCAAATATGTGCCTAGATATTTCACACAATTTTTAAATGAAAATTCTATTTTTCCTAATTTGAAGTTTGAAGTCCTAAGGAGTTTGGCGTTTTTTGAAAAAAAAAAACAAATTTCAGTCTTTGTAGTTGATATTAATAAGCCTATAGAATAGTAATAATTTTTTATACAATCTAGTGTAAATTTAAGTTGAAGCCTACAAATGTCTTGGGTAGCATAAGAGGTATACAACACATCATCTGCAAACTGTAATATATTAGATTGTAGAGGTATTATCTGTTCTAGATAGTAGCTAAAAGTTTTAGCGTTAAAAGTTTTTCATTTAGTTGTAAGTAAGTCCATCTATTCTAGTAGAAGGATATAATGAAATTTGAAATTTTACCTGACATTTCAAGATATTACAATTTCTAATGTAGAATATATAAATTTATGTTAACAAATGAAGAGGTTACATGTACAAATGCTGCAGCTGCTTATTCTTGATTTATGAAATTGACATGAACAGAGAAAACTAGTGAAGTGAGAGCATCTTGTGTTGACCTGGATTTTCGAAAGCCATATTGAGATTTGAGAAGGATATCTTCATATTCAAGCCAGTATTCAAGCCGATTTTTGACTTTTTAGTATGCAGCTTTGCAACTGTTTCGCAGTTCTTATCCCAATATGGTTTTGGGAATATTTTCTGTAGGGTATTTTTTTCATTTTTTAATACTTTTTGAATAGCAATAGTTGCGCATTTGTTTATTTCATTAACTTATTTCTCATACGTTTGAGGAAGTTTTTCTGAAGAAAAGTTTGATGAATACAAACTCCAATGTGCTTTATTTAGATTTCATCTGTTATGTGTATTGTTAACAGGTGGTATTGCTCTTTGGAATTTTCCAAGGCGATGGTCAAGGCAATGTGATGGACAGAACCATGTGTATCTTGAATAACAGACCAAGTTAATTTAGATATAATATAATGGGTGCAAATTGTTGTGTCGATTGCTGATGGATTGGAACTTAGTGCAAGAGTTGGAGAACCAGAGTATAATAGATTACAGTGTTCTATCGCCTCTAATAAAACTTTACCATATCATTAGTTTTACATCCCCATGCTATATTGTGAGCGTTAAAGTCCCCTCCAATAATGAATAGCGGAGAAATTGTGTTGAAAAAAAAATGGATTCATTCTTCAACTGTTTCTCTAATACGTAGTTCTTCGTATATGGATATTATATGTATAGGTTTATTGATATAAGAAGTTATAAAATTCTCCTGGTGTTAACCATGTTTCTGATAACACAGCCACATACACATTTCTTTGAATAAGTAAGGCTTCTAAATTTGGTTTATTAGAAACTGCTAAGCGGCACTTCCACTGTAAAAAGTTTATAGCGCTAGTTATGTCTGAGAAGATGGCGTTTGACCAAGTAAGTCTTTTTACGAGATCGATGCCATACTTAAGTATTTATTAGTTGGTTGTATATTCTCTGTTTTTGATGTGTCTCATTTTTTTTGTAAGTTTTAATGAACTATTTGTATTAAGAACCAATTCTAAAATTATAATATTTTAATCTGCTGATACTTCTTGTGTCTGCAAATTTTTTGTATTTCTAATATCTGTATATTTAGAGGTATTATAAATACCACGTTTTTGTCTAGAGATATTTATTAGATAATTTATATATTTTCTATCTGATTCCAAAGGATCGAAAGAACTTGGACGTTTTCGCTTTAAATTTGACTTTTCTGGATTGCTGTTGGTATAAAACATTTGTAAAAAGAACTTTTTTGCAAACGAAGCTGATTGATTTGGAGTTACTTGATAGGGTCGGTAATTGTTATTAGAGTTTTTTGGCAAGGAAGAACTATTATGTCTGGCGGTGATATTGGCATATGAGATTTTCGGTATTTGCTTACAGGCATCAAAGAAATTTAGATTTCTTCCATCCAATCATTCTATATGTTGTTTATATTGGATTTTATTTTTTCTATATTACCAACTTCCTCCATTCGGCTACTATCTGGAGGTCTCCTCGTATGACCCATATTAAGTTTTTAATAATTTAACACGTTAAAACTTCGCATCTATCTTACACGTACTAACAATTATCGTATTTAAACGGTAACCCCCAATTGCGGTAAAATAAATTCAAATATTTTTCTTAATCACCAATTGTTTCACAAAAAAACGTTGTCGTACGGTCGTAGCATCCTCTCCGTTATCTGGAGTTCCTGGACACTCAGCGACCGCCCCTCGTGAAGACCATCTCGTATTACGAGGATCCATCTCCGTATAGGAGTTTAAATAGATGCCGGCTTATTCGTAGAAGAGGCGAAAAATTAAAACGGACGTGTTTTAAAATTTCTGAAAAAAATAATTTATTCCATATATTTCCATCACACTGTTGTATATGTATATATAATTAAGTGTGTGTAGGTTCAGTTTAAGTGCAAGTTCTTCACTAAATTTGTACAATTTAATTATTTGCATGTAACTTTGATTTTTAACAAATTTTAGTTAGCAGAAAAAGTGACTTTCTCTGACAAGATTCAGCCAATAAATTTACCAGAACAAGACGCTAAAGTACGAATATCTACATCACTAACAGTTGCAGGCTGGGGATTCACAAAGGTAAATAATAAATTGTAAATTTTTTAATACAAAGAAAAAAATTATTTTTTACGAATATTTATTTGTTTCGTTATGTTATTACACAATCTTTTTAATAAAGTACTTTTATGGTAAAGGCTATAGCGGGAGAATATTGTAAAATCTGCAATCACTGAATTTTTTTTTGAGGTTGGGCACTTAAAAGTATGTATGTATTTAAAAACCGCTTTAGTCGAATTTGTATCTCCTTAGGTGTCTTCTAGGACAAATTATTATCGCAAAAAATATATCTTTCCGAAGAAAATTTTTCTTAAACAATTCCTTAATTCAAAAAAAAAAATTTGAAAAAATTCACGAATATACACTCTTATGTTCAAAAACCGTTAGATTTTTTTTAGATGCTTTTAATTAAAATTGAGATCAGGAAATGTATTTGAATTTTTCTATTTTCTAAACAGTTTTAGTTTATGTAGATCATTTTTGGCAAACTTCTAAATAATTATTTTTTGTGTATTTTTTTCATTCATTTAAATAAATAAATCTGGGTTAAATATTTCAATTTCGCTCCAGAAAATTGTCAAAATTTAAAAAACAAATTTTTTGACATTATTGCATGTTTTAAGCAAAAGAACTTTATTTAAATGTAACAAATAACCATTTTTGTTTCTCTATTCCTTTATGTAAGTGGAGATTATCATTTAAATATTTTCATCTCCAAAAAACAAAAAATTTAAGTTTTATTTATTTAAGGTTTTTATTATTTTTCGTGTATTTTTTCCGTTCTTTTGAATGGTGAGGTTATATTTTCCATTTTTGGTTTGGAAACTCCTCAAAATTCTAAACATCCTTTTTTTGGTGTTTTCCCATGGGTTTTCCATCGGGAACGATTTTTAATATGATTTTTTGTGATTTCTAATAAAGCAATCATGTTTGACATTTTCAGACCAAAACATGCTCAAAATATTGTCAAATATTTCTCCGTTCTTTACTAATAGCAGCGTTACATTGCTTATTTCCACACTGAAACATACTTTGAAGTTTGAAGTATATTCAAGTCGTGATTATCATTTAAATATTATCATTTATGAATTAAATTGATAAAATAATTATATTTAATTTCATATTTGACCTTTTTTATACTAATGAAATATTATGAAATTAGAAAATATTAAAAATATTCAAAATCACTTTACAATGGTAGTTTTAGTCTTCTTACTAGCTTAGAGGGTGTATATCGTCTATTACAGGGTTAGTATCTGTTGTGACAAAAAGTCTAAAAGTATTTTTGCTACTCTAAGTAATAGATATGATTATTATTATTTACTTACATACTTATAATAAATATTTGCGGCAATGTGGGAACAGAACCCTACAGTTCCTAATCCATTAACACAATTATTGCGCAAAATACCGCCATACACAAATTTGATAATTTGTATTGGACATAACATTTGTAGTTCTTATTATTTATTTGTCTTGACTTAATTAAAATTTTAATGATATTAATAAAGTTAAAAATAAATGCATTTATTAAGTATAACATATGACATTATAAATAAATAGACATTTGTCAATATGACGTCTAAGGAAAGAGTGTTAAGAAGAAGTAGTATAAAATAATATTTTTAGAATATTTGGTGATTTTATTTAAGCGAAATACTTCCTGGTCTAAAAGGATCTTAAATTATTTGTTTCTTTATTTGTTTGGTGTGCTTTTAGAAAGAATTCTAAACGTTTGTTTAGTATGTCCGCTTCTAGGCGTATTAAAAATTCTTCAAGTAATACATTTTCTAAATCTCTAATTAAAGAACCTGTAGGTATAATATTTCTTTCCCATTTTTGTATAGCACCATAAAATTTATAAAAGCACGACATATAGAGTGAAAAATTACTTTTTTCAAATTTTTTCAAAACAAATTTAAATACGTAAATAAATTATATTTTTAATGGCAATTTTTAACATTTTTGCTATTCTCATAATCATTCAAATGTATAACTTTTTTAGTAACTAGTCACTACAGAATTTTCTGTCAATGCTTTACAGTAAATAATTTCGAACGATACTTATGGCATTATGGCATCGATGGGTTGCTCGCTATTAAATATGTGTGGCCTCCCAATTAGTTGTTTAGATCGTCCTGACAGCTGCAGTTATTCCATAAATTGTTTGATAAAATATTTAATAAAATTTTTTAGTAATAAGCAGTTATTCCATATTCTCCAATAGTGTTTTAATACAGCCATTAAAACTTTATAATACAGCCAATAAACCCAAGAAAATTCCGCAGACCGTAAAATAAAGCTTATAATAATTTTTGCCTTTTTTTATAAATTTCAAAAACAGGAAAAATATGTTTCCACTACGCTAGAAAAGGTGATTGACAGAAAGTAGGAAGGGACTGCAATGAAGTTAGCACAAATGACATAGAACATATGCCTATGATGGAATTAGCTCTTTTGTCAATATAGAATAGAGTGTTTAGATTAGCGGACATAGAGAGCGAGGGCCAATATTTATTCTACCGGAAAGAATGAGAAAGAGGGCGCAAACTACTTTTTTGAAAAAGGAATAGTAAAAACGAAACTGACGGCAAAGGAACTAATAAATTAATAACCAAATTAAAATAAATTTAAATATAAATTAATAGAGATGTGGTGTTTATAACGTTACACACCTTCCTTTTTCGTAATATACAAATAATCTACGATGCGTTGTGTTTTCTTGACGTGATGACAGATATTTGCTGTATAAAGAAATGTTATTTTCTCCAATAACCGCAAAGGCCAATTCCATGTTTAGTTTTAGAATTAGGAACTTCAATCACTAACATGGTTATCTAATTTTCTATATCATTAAAACTCATTTTGCAGAGTTCCTCATGACGACAAGCGCCTGCCAAACCAATTATTAATCCAACCCAAAATTTACAAAATAAGTATTAAAAAAAAGAGAGATTAGATTTAATTATATAACTTTTATCATTTAGTAGATCTTATCTTTATCTTCTAATAAAAATTTACCTATTTCTTCTCTATTCAATTCTTCCGATTTTTTTATTTTGTAGCTGATGAATTTTCTTTTAAGGAAGGCAATAACTTTTAGATAGCGGTTTATATCTATATTATTTTTAATTTTAAGTGTGGAATTAAGCATCGAGTAATGGCTCCAAAGACTTGATGGCTTCAAGATGTTAGATTTTTTCATTAGATAGGCAAGAATGACTTCTTCATTTATAGTATACAGTGGTGAGTGCTTTATCACCCGGCTTTTTAACGTAAGAGATAGAAAACACAGTTATCTTGTGAAATAAAAAGAGATGAAACTCGTAAAGGTGGGAAATAATCGACAGAAACCTATAATTTACATTACGTTGCATTAACACTATCGATAGTCTCACACCTTTAGACGTTAGCTTCCAGCTAAATCACCTCGGTCATAATTATTATTTGTGACGTCCTATGTGTAACGTATTTCGGTGACATTTTTTAATTTCGCATAAAGTAAAAAGAATTGACCACAATAAAGCAAAAATGTAAATAAAATAAATAAATTAATAGTGATTATTTAGTCTAAACTTTTAAATTATTAACCAAAAATAATTTCTATGATTTGAGGAGTTTCATACACACTTGTCACGGAAATAAACATCATTTCTTCGTGGATTAGTGGTAAGAATCCGACACTGCGACGCACACGATTAGAGTTCAAAACCCATATGTGGTTTTCTTTCTTTTTTTTTAATAATTTAAAATTATGCAGAGATCGTTTTGATTTGAATCACTAAACATTTATGTCAGTCGTTACTAGTATTAGAAGTGTTTAAAGTTACACATAAATATCTTTTTGAATTTGAATTATTTTGTATTTCCGTTTTATAACATTGGAATAAGAATAAATTGTAAATATTGAGTTTTTCGAAAACTCGTTACCTAATATGTATAATATTTTCTATTATTTTTTGATTAAGTAAAACAAAATTTTTATCCTTGGTGGAAATTAAACCCCATTCTTCTTGTCAATAGACCACGTGTCTAATAATTACACCAACTCCACATACAATAAATGTTTTCGGACAGAACATACCTACCTTTAGTTTAGTCAAGTATTTCAGTTGAGTTATTTTTATTATTAAATAAAACTAAAGATTTATAATTTAAAATCGCTACTAATTAATGTTTTTTACTTTAATTCTTAATTTATTCTATCATTTATTCTTACATCAGAAATTATTAAAATAAAATATTTTCGCGGTCATCCGTATAATTATGACTGAAGTCAAATAGCCACGTCTAAGAACTAGCTTTATCTCATTCTTTCTCACAAAATCCATCTTCTATCCTTTCCGCTATTTTGCCGGATTTTAAAGCGACTTTAAACACTTCTAATACTATAATAACGTCTAAAGGTGTGAGACTATCGACGGTGGTAATGTAATGTAATGTAATGTAAATTATAGGTTTCTATCGATTATTTCCCACCTTTATGAGTTTCATCTCTTTTTATTTTACAAGGTAACTGTGTTTTCTATCTCTTACGTTAAAAAGCCGGGTGATAAAGCACTCACCACTGTATACATTTTTATCATTGCTCCATTTTTTAAATAAGTCGTAGACCAACTCATACTTCTTTCTTGACTTTACCGGCAACAATTCATAAATAACGGCTTTATTAGTTTCCCTAATCTCATCTGAAATCAGTTCTGCTTCACTTTTACTGCTGATTTAAATTTTTTGGAATTGAAAAACGAAAAACTGAGAGAATGCACATGAATGTTAAATGACAAGCGTTGTCATAATAAAATACAAAGTTGATGTTATTGTTATTTAGGCGCGAGTTGTGTAAAAAGGTACTTTCGATTTAATAAATCATACCGAAAGTTTTATTTTCGGGACGGCTGCAGAAAAATAATTTTACACAATTAACTTATAAAATACTATATTTTCATTTTTTTAACAAATTTATTTAAACCAAAAATATAATTTAAAGAAAAAATTTTTTTTTTTTTTGGTTGTTAAAAAAGTAATTTGAATATTTCTTACAGATATCTGGACCAGCATCAGATGTTTTAATGGAAACCACTGTTAGGGTAACGAGACACTGTCCCTGTATGAAAACCATAATTGCTGCTTTTGATAGAAAATCAGGAATTTGTAGGGTAAATTAAATTTCTATTAACAAAAAATATTTATTTTGAATTAAAATGATATTTTCAAATATTGATTGAATTTTTTGCGGAGATTTGTAAGTAATTTTAGTTATTATCCTTTTTACTATATTTCTAGATATCCTATGTCTGCAAATAGTGCGAACTGTTTATCAATTTTAATTTTTCTTGAATTTTAGTGCAAAAATAAGACTTACAGAAATAAAGCTAATGGCATTCTTCTAAAATAATTTAAATATTAAAAGAAATGTGGTAAAACACCTGTTCGGTTTAAACACTAATCCGATTTTAGTTAAATTATCTAAATAGTTTAAATATCTAAAAATTAATTATAAAAATTAAAAATGAGACCAGATAATTTTTCTTGCAAATTCATATTTAATTTAAGACTATAATTTCCAGATCCAGCACGTAATTCACCTTTTGCCAAATTTGAACATCTAATAAATACTGTGGTTATATAAATGAAGGCTGAATTATATTTATCTTTATCATTAAAATAATTCTCGTCATCTATTTTTCTTCGTCTGTTACATTTAATTATATATTTTTTTTTACTTTGATCTGTTTTTCTTTTTTTCTAAAGTCGTTATATGTGTGATTGATACAAATCACATTTTTTGTTAATCTAAGACGTTTCTTAAAACGATCCCAGTATAACCTCATAACGTTGCAGCTTTGTCTCTAAAAGTAGTCTTAATATAGTATCATGAACAATCTCACTAGATGCACTTAATATACTGTCAGAAGAACTTTTTAAATAGTCCGAAAATGCCACATTAATTGATTATAGTTTTTAACCTGGTGCAATTTTCATAATACAATGTAAGTAGCTTAGCTTAAAATATTAACAATCACGTGTAAAAAAATGTTTGTTTTTAAATTTGTCGCTTTAGCATATCTTTTGCGAAATAAATTTCGACTGCTTCTTATTTCAGATTTAAGTCTCAGAGGCGCAGGTTACGAGTTCTATATTAGAAAGTGCTAGTATCTACTGAGTTAAGATCGAGATTCATTTTGAAATTTTAAGAGTACTTTTAGGAGCTCTTATCCTAGTCAATCTCCAGAAATTAAAATACTTTGGACATATTATGAAAGTAGATACAGAAAACATGGAAATACTTATCATTTAATGAAATGTAGAAGGCCGAAGATCACGAGGATCCTTCTTCTTCTTTAAGTTCCATCTTCTATCGAAGGTTGGAAATCATCATGGCTATGCGGACTCTGTTGACTGCCGCTCTTAAAAGTTCTGCACTACTGCATTCAAACCATTCCCTTAAGTTCTTAAGCCAGGATATTCTTCGTTTTCCCACATTTCGCTTTCCTCGGATTTTGCCCTGCATAATAAGTTGTAATAATGCGTATTTTTGCCCTCCCATCACATGTCCCAAATACTCAAGTTTTCGTCTTTTAATAGTTAATATTATTACCGCCTCATTTCCTATCCTTCTAAATACTTCCATGTTTGATATTCTTTGAATCCATGATATTCGTAGGATTCTTCTGTAGAACACCAAAATTCAAAGGCGGCCAGCTTATTCAGATAAACTTGTTTTAGTGTCCAAGCTTCCAGACCATAAAGAAGAGTAGAGAACACGTAACATCGAAGCATTCTCAGGCTTAGTTCTAACCTTATATCCCGACAACAAAGAAACTTTTTAAGTTTAATAAATGATGTACGTGCTATTTCAATACGTGTCTTAATTTCTTTGGTTTGGTCTACATCTGATGTTATCCATGTTCCTAAATATTTATAGTTATTAACATTCTCAATTGCAGTATCTTCGATAGTCAATGGGATATTTGCATGTGCAGATTTAGTCATGATCATGCATTTAGTTTTCTTTAAATTTATCTTCAGTCCGTACTCATGACAGCGTTCATTAAGGCGTTGCATTAGGTTCTGTAAATCATTGTTGTTATCTGTAATTATTACAGTATCGTCTGCAAAACGTAAGTTATTCAAAACTTCTCCATTTATAGATATACCTTCTATTAAGTCCGAGAGCGCTTCTTGAAATACCGCTTCAATGTAGACATTGAAAAGTAGTGGGGGCATCACGCAACCCTGGCGGACTCCTCTCTGTATTTTGATATTTTCGGTGTACTGGCTGTCAACTCTTACCTTCGCAGTTTGATTCCAATATAAATTAGATATAATTTTCAGATCACGACTGTCAATATTTTTGCTTTTTCATATATCTACAAGCTTTTTATGTTGAACTTTATCAAATGCCTTGATACAAAAAAGTCTACAAAACATAAGTACATATCCTGATTCATGTCCATGCATCTCTGAGCCAGCACATTCAAGCCGAACAAAGCATCTCTTGTACTCATACCATTTCTAAAGCCAAATTGTGTGCCACTAATCTCATATTCAAAAGTTTTAACAATTCTGCTGTGAATTATTTTCAAAAATGTTTTAAGTGTGTGACTCATTAAAGCTATTGTTCTGTGGTCTGAGCAAGTTGTTGAACTTGGTTTTTTGGGAATTGCTACAAAGGTTGATTGCAGCCATTGTCTGGGGATTGTGGTAGTCTGATATATTAGATTAAAGAGTTCAACCATTACATCAATCATCAACATCTTCATCGATGAGTTTTAATGATTCGATGGGCACCTCATCTGGTCCAGTAGCTTTACCCTCTTTTGTATTTTTGATGGCATAGATGATTTCTTCTCTTAATATTGGTGGTCCAGTATCCTCGGTGATTTCTAATGACAGTTCTTCTCTTTCATCATTAAATAGTTGTTGAATGTAATTGGTCCAGTGACATAATCTCTCCTTCATATCAGTAATAATATCCACTTTATCATTTTTAAGGATATTCGTTTTTGTACGCTTTCTAGAACCTGTTATTTCTTTGATTTTTTTGTGTAAATTAAAGCTATCGTACTGTTTATCCATATCTTCTATTTCCTTGCATCTATCGGAGAACCACCTCTCTTTTGCCTCTCGAATTTTCTTTCTGATGTTTCTCTGAATTTCTTTGTATTTATTCAGGTCTTTTGCTTTATGTTTTCTTCGTTCTTCCATGAGTTCAAGAATTTCTACTGTCATCCAAGGTTTTGTTTTTTCTTTAAGTGGTTTGAGGGTTTCTTTTCCAACTGACACAAGGGCATGTTGAATTTTTCCCCATTTTTGGTCAATAGTTAGAGTTTCTGCATTATCTTCTTTGACTTTCCTTAAGCTCTCGTTTATTTTAAATTTGGTTTCCACATATGTGTTGTCTTGTTTGAGACGTCTTGTATCTATGATTTTCTTGGTGCTAGGGCTGTTGACCTTCTTTAGTTTCGTTCGGTTAATTTAGCAGCTCTAGTATCCAATAATATACCGATCCAGGATCATTTCCCTTACGCTCAATCTTGGTAATGATGCTACTGTCTGACAGAGTAGGATATAGGAATGCAAACTTTGGTAATTAGATGGGAGAATGGGTTCCTGCACAACGAGGATCCTGCACAACTGCAAATTTTTGCAATTTTTTAAAACTAAATTTAGGTTTTACTTTTTTTTTTCTGTTTATGCTTTTTAATTATTACATCTCATATTAATTTTAACCAAAAATCAGATCAAAGTCTACGTGAGCCCCTCTTCACGTTTTTATATTTGTTATTAAAGTGGCGAATTTCTCTTGTATTAAGATGAGGTCTATTTGATTAGTTTTATTTGATGCCGGAATTTTTCTCTTTACGTTGTATAATATATTCTTCCTCCTGAAATGTGTAATTATTATTTTGATCATGTGTTCAATTACGACAATTAATACTTTAATTTGTAAGTCATTTTTTAACCTATTTCTTAATTAAAGAAGCTGTTTATTACTACGAACTATCTCTGCGCATAAAATTTAGTCGATAAATTGAATGACGTTTCTTGTAGCATCCACTACTGTGGTCATCAAAAGACTATTTGGTCTAATGTAACTATATCTTGTTTATTATTAATTTGTAACTTGGAGATTTGTTACGCAGTCGTTTGGAGATTTATGAATATATTTTTTCTTATAAGAATATCCACGAAGTTAAAAGATCTGTTATAAAACATCTAAAGAAATCATGAATGTGTTGATTGAGTGAGTCCATTTCAAATAGGTAAAAGAAATAATAAATAAGACTTACTCACAATCAATTATTTAATTTAACTATCCAGACGAACGGTTTCGCTTTCTAGAATATGCAAAGCATCTTCAGGTCTCGATACAAAGTTAAATAAATACTGAAATAATAAAACTCATATTAGGGTATTGTCTAATAAAGATAAACAAAGATAGATGATATAAGAGATTTTTAAGAGATTTTTAAGAGATACTTAGATAGTTTTTTTTTAAGATTATTTTAAAGCTATTTTGAAAAATTCGTAGATTACGGTAATCGTCGATATCTTGTAACTAAACGTTTTCAGAATTTGTTTTTTTATACCTACCCTATTTTAAGTTAAATTTGTCTAGTTAATTAAGACATATTACCTATCATCCATATACCCCACTATTAATTACAAACCTTTTAGGGCGATTCAGGAGGACCTTTACAACTAAATGGTACATTAGTGGGTCTTGTGTCAGGCAGTCGGCACATTTGTGAAAGTCCGTATCCAGCAATATACACCAACGTTGCCTTGTTTCGTACATGGATAAAAGAAAAAACTGGTATATAAGTTATATCTATTAATAGTCACCAGAATCAAATGTTTAGCAATTATTAAATGTTTGCTCTAATGTTCACTGAATTTAGATTGTTAATATATTCACCCAATTATTGTAATTTAAAAAATCTTTTATAAAAATAAATCACCTGCACTAAAAATATATTTAATTTTATTGTAAAAAACTGCTAAAATCACAAATATATTCTTAACAGTTTAGCTCCCACGTACATCACCCATGGGTATAGTAAGTTTTCCGTTCAACTGTTGATTGAATGTCCGAATTGGGATACTCAATCAACGGTTCAACTCATGTGGCCATTAATGGCACAAAACTTATAGACGATTTGCATTAAAAAGCGTGACATACGGGTTCTCCAGACTGCCCGTGGACTATGGTTCGTTACTCACACCATATTTTGAGTAAATATAGATTATGTTATTTTGACACGTTTTGATTTATCATTTACACGCGCTCTTAGCAAAATAAAGGCTATTGTATTGTAGTGCGTTATAGTATATAACATAACGAGAGTTGTGAGAAGCTTATTAGATGCGAGTAAAATAGTTGCGCGCTAGCCGCGTAGCGGAGAGCGCAGTAATTTTACAAGAATGTAATAAGATTACAACTCAAGTTGTATGCTATACTTTTCCTACGATTATTTTGATTTATAAAAATAAAAAGTATAACAAGTAATTTTTATTTATTTAACAAAATTTGGGAACAATTTGAATTAAACATTTATTTATAATTAATTGTAAAATTTTGGCAAGTATTTATAACTATATCCTTATCCGAGTTTGGCGGTTGTTCAATATTACGTGGTGAATGGTGAGATGAAGTAAACTGTACGGTGTGTTTTTTTTTTAACATTGGTATTTTCAGTGTATGTAAAGGTCTGTAAATTACTTTAAATTAAATTTTTAATTCTATTGGCTGTTGACGTCTTATTATTTATTGACTTATCGACATATCCTTCAGCCGTTGTTGAAGATTTCCATCCGCCATGTCATTTAAGAGCCATTAAATGACCACCGGCATCTACCAAAATAGTGGCAGAAATTTGTCTTAAACAGTGACCTGTATACAATTTGGGATCTGCTAACCTTAAATATTCGGGTATTTGTTTAGGAACACCGCCTATTTTGTTTAATACTATCACCTGTTTCGTACATTTACCTCTTTGATAATTAGGAAAAAATTTATTTATTTGCGGATCGCTAATCTGTAGTCGTATTTCTATATATTGTTTGCAGATTTTATAGAAATTTCTGGAAATAACGAAAGATCTACATATTTTGGATTTCATATCAGGAATTTTAACCAATAACATGGTACTTAAATCAACAATATCACAAATTTTAATACTTTTTAACTCTTGTTTCCTACAAGCTCCACATATTCAAATAATTGCAATAACCTTAAAATAAAAGTATTATCAGTAGACACGTGTATGTTATACTTTTAAATAACATACCTTTATAACAAGTACTGTCCTTCAGTAGCTCCATTTAAAAAAAGTTTTATTTCATCAGGATGTAAAATTTTAGATTTTTTGTTTTTAAAACCTTCTGAATGCCTTTTTAGGTAAGCTCGTAATTTCAAGTAATTTTTAATAATGACATTATTTTTTAAAATTATAACACTTCTTAGCATAGAAGATATTGCCCATAACGAGGATGGTTTAAATTTCTTAGCGATTTCTCCAAAATAAGCCAAGAGTACGTTTTCAGAAAATGAATTTACATTATTATGTTGTACGCCAATCCATAAATTGCTGACATACCTTTTCATATCTTCCTCTAGATTTTTCTGGTAATAGGTTCTCGGCAGTGTTCGCAGCTAACTGCATAATATTGGATAGTGTGCTACTAAATTCATCTTTATTATTCGATGAACTCATTTTATTAATCTGTATTTAAATTACGACTATATTTACAATGGCAGATTAATAATTTTTAATCTGTCAAAATACCGTCTGTTAATTCGTTTTTATGGTAACTCAACCAACTGACTTACAAGGCTTATGTGATATTACACATTTTTATAGAACTGAAGCGTAATTAATACTTAGCATCGAAATAGCAGGGTGTAGGGTTGTGTTATAGAGGTAGTACCTTTTATCGGAACGACCACATCGAGCGTCATAGACGGGAGATGGTTCTTGATTACTGGTCCTCATAAGACACCCAACTCTCACTTATGGCTCCACGTGCCACACCCTGGGCAACTGCATTGGTCTGCAGGCTAAACTAAGTGAGGGTAACCAGATATGGTGAAAATAGCAACGTCTGTACCAAGAATGGACGGTTGCAAACGGCGTCTGTTCCATAGTGGGCGGCTGAAAACTAAGCCCTGAAGCGGCATGAAGGAAGGCAACGGGATACCACCTTCATTATATTTCCCAAGACAATCACATGAATACATTCAACTCAAAATTATCCGGAGGTATAAATAGTTCCCCAATCGGATCTCCGGGGGGAGCGGACTTGAATGTTTCAAACGTACGAGCAAACTTAAGAAAGACATTAAAGATAGGCACCTGGAATACACGCAGCTTATTTGAAGCCGGAAAGCTGGCTAACCTAACTCAAGAAATGAACAGATTAGATCTAGAAATTCTTGGGATCTCAGAAACCTGGTGGCCTGGATCCGGTAAATGTACTACAGAAAGCGGAACATTCTTTTACTCAGGCAATGATGACCGCGATCATAGAAAAGGTGTCGGGATTATGATAACTAAAAGATTGGTGAGAGCTGTCACAGAGTTTGTACCATATTCCGACCGCACAGCCTTAGTAAAACTTGAAGCGAAGCCAAATAATCTCAACATCATACAGGTTTATGCACCAACTACAGACGCATCAGATGAAGTAGTGGAAAACTTTTATAGTGAAACCAAAGAACTACTTAAATTGACAAAGAAACATGATGTCAACATAATTATGGGAGATTTTAATTCCAAAATAGGAAAGGGCAGCTTTGAAGACATAGTTGGTCCCTATGGTCTTGGAACAAGGAACGAAAGGGACGACCGACTTATACAATTTTGTCAAGAAGAAAACATGAGAGTTACCAACACATGGTTCCAACTCCACCCCCGTCGCCTATATACTTGGAAATCTCCAGCCGATAGAGCTCACAACATAATAAGAAACCAGATAGACTTCATTCTTATAAACGGTAGATTCAGCACAACTGTCAAAAGAGCTTGCACATACCCTGGAGCAGATGTCCCTTCTGACCACGTACTATTAGTGGCCGTCATAAAGATCGCTCTTTCATGCAAGAACAAGCCTGAAACTCAACAACAGATAGCACTGGATAAACTGAAAGACCCAGTGATACAAGCAAAAATAAGCAATGAAATAAACGCACAAATTCAAATATTAACGACAAACATTACCGAAGATATAACACCAACATGGAATACGATTACAAGTGCTGTAACAGACATCATAAAAAACAACTTAGGGTACAAACGAAATAACAAGAAGCAAAAATGGATAACAGAAGAAATACTATTACTAATGGAAGAACGACGAAGACACAAGAATAATCAAGATGGCAGCAATATGTATGAAAACATTAACAGGCAAATAAAAGCAAAAATAAGAATAGCAAAAAATGAATGGCTTAAGCAACAATGTATCGATCTAGAACATTTACAAAGACAACACGACGACCGTAACTTACATAAAAAGCTTAAGGAGACTGCTGGAATATACAGAAAACGAAGACCAACTACCATAGTTAATCAGGATAACCAGATAGTGCTGGGTGAAAAGGAGAAAATTGATATATGGGAAAATTATATTAAGGAGCTCTTCCATGACGAAAGACCCATGAGTGAAGTTTATACAGACGACCAGCTGACTGGCCCTTCAATCACCAAAGAGGAGATAGAAAAAGCAATATTAAATTCAAAAAACAATAAGGCACCTGGACCAGATGAGATCCCGTCAGAAATTCTCAAATTACTAGATGAAAGGGGAATTTCAGCACTACACAAAATATTTAATTTAATTTATGAAACTGGCTGCTATCCTCAACAGTGGTTACGCTCTACCTTTATTCCCCTGCCCAAGAAAGTCAATGCAAAAAGATGTGAGGATCACAGACTCATTAGCCTGATGAGTCACACTTTAAAGATATTCTTAAAAATACTACATCAAAGATTATACAAAAAATGTGAATGGGACATCAGTGATTCACAGTTTGGGTTTAGGCAAGGTTTAGGAACACGAGAAGCAATAGTAGCAACACAGGTACTGGTCCAAAATTGTTACGATCAGAGGAAGGATGTGTTCCTATGCTTTTTAGATTACAAAAAAGCGTTTGATCGTGTCCAACACCACAAGTTAATGCAGATTCTCAAGAAAGTTGATATAGACCAAAAAGACATAAGATGCATTGAAAACTTGTACTGGCATCAAACGGCACAGCTAAAAATAGACAATTCTATATCTAAGCCCATACATATAAGAAGAGGCGTTCGACAGGGATGTGTGCTTTCCCCTCTTTTATTTAACATTTATTCAGAAGCCATATTTCAAGAGTCTTTGGAGGATGCAGAGATGGGAATCAAGGTGAATGGAGTATTGATCAACAACATAAGATATGCTGATGATGGTGTCTTAATTTGTGACAACATAGTCGATCTTTAACAACTTGTCACTATAATCGGAGAATACAGTGAGCGAATGGGACTAGAGATTAATACCAAAAAGACCAAATTCATGATCATCTCCAGAAACTTGGATGCATTTGAAAACTCCACCATAACACTGAATAGTAAATCCATAGAAAGAGTGAGTAAATTTAAATACCTGGGATCATGGCTTTTTGAAGACTGGGCATCGGACAGGGAAGTAAAATGTCGCATTGAGCAAGCTCGACAAGCTTTCGTAAAATTCAAGAAGGTACTGACTTGTTCTGAGTTCGATCTTCAACTGAGACCAAGGTTTACTAAGTGCTACGTATGGTCAGTGCTGCTATATGGCGTAGAGGGCTGGACACTCAAAACGAGGGATATAAACAGATTGGAAGCTTTCGAAATGTGGCTTTATCGCCGTATCCCAAAAATACCATGGACAGCGAAAATCACAAATATAGATGTCCTTAAAAGAATAAACCAAGAACGCCAACTTTTCGAAA